TTTTTTTTTCAGAAAATCCAAAAACACGTCAATTTTGTTTGTGAGGGGGACAACTTTTGCCCCAAAAATGATTGCAAAATCTTTAACCCTTTAAGCGGGGGTGTCATCCCCCAACTTTTTTCAAATGGGAAGGGGGTCAAGTGGCACCGCAATGAAAAGAGCTTTCAATTTTCTATATTTTCCCGCTTCATTTTTGAAAATCGGTCGAGTCATTGAGAAAATATGAAGGATTGAAATTTGAAAAGTATATTTAAACGTTTATCAGAGTAAATGATAAGGATACATTCCTTCGACCAAATTGCTGTTTTTTCTTATTATTTCTAGATGTTTACGCATTTTTTCACTTGCCAGGTTGAACGATTAGGTGCGGTAGTTGCTAGATAGCTGTTCTGTGACTTGTGCGTTGAAGTTCTTCTCAATATCGTTAAACTTTTTAACAATTATGGTGTACTCACTTGCAGAAAAAGTGGATATATTCGAACTTTATTTTAAAAATAATGAATGTGGCAATCGGTTTGCGCAGATACTCAATGAACGCCATCCTGGCAAACACCTTTATGGCAAAATTGTTCGCGATTTAGTAGCAAAATTTCACGAAACTGGTTCCGTTATGAATAAAAAGAGGCAGAGGGAAAATCCTGTAGTAAATGAAGCTATGGAGGTATTCGTATTGGGTCAAGTTGCCATGGATAGTACGCTGAGGACAAGAAAATTAGCCAATAAGATCGGCGTGAATTGTACAAGTCTCCAAACGTTATTAAAAAAACACAAGTTCCACACGTACAAAATTCAGTTGGTACAACAACTCAACGAAGACGATTTTGATCGTCGCGGGCTGGTATTTTTGGAAATTCTATTGTGGGTCATTTTAACGATATTAATAAAATTATATAAGGATTCTTGCCCACTTAACTGCTAATATAGAAATTTAATTCTACACTGTGTTTGTCATAATGCGGATCAACCTGCTCTCACTACCGGTTTCGGAGCCCTACTCCATCATCAGGTGAGCTTGGGAGATCCACAAAATGACAACCACCAGCGCAGAGATAGTTAATTCCGACTTGTCGGAAAGTATCGGTTAGATATTAAGTCCCGAGCGGGAGATAGCGGCCTGCGTGCAATGGTAGTACTTTCGTACCACCGAGGCGCAACTATCGATAGTAAAATGATGGTAAAAGGCTTTTTTTCAGGCAAGCCAAATTATAAAATAGAAAACAAATTTCTTGCAGTAGAGGTATATAATAATATCTAACCGATACTTTCCGACAAGTCGGAATTAACTATCTCTGCGCTGTGGTTGTCATTTTGTGGATCTCCCAAGCTCACCTGATGATGGAGTAGGGCTCCGAAACCGGTAGTGAGAGCAGGTTGATCCGCATTATGACAAACACAGCGTAGAATTAAATTTCTATATTAGCAGTTAAGTGGCAAGAATCCTTATATAATTTTATTATATACCTCGACTGCAAGAAATTTGTTTTCTATTTAACGATATTGAGACCGCACCTGATCGTTCAACCTTGTGACAAGTGAAAAAATGCGTAAACGTCTAGAAATAATAAGAAAAAAAAAGCAAATTGCGGTCGAAGGAATTTATCCTTATCATTTACTCTGATAAATGTTTAAATAAACTTTTCAAATTTCAATCCTTCGTATTTTCTCAATGATTCGACCGATTTTCAAAAACGAAGCAGGGAAATATAGATAATAGAAAGCTCTTTTCGTTGCGGTGCCACTTGACCCCCTTCCCATTTGAAAAAAGTTGGGGATGACACCCCCGCTTAGGGGTTGAATATTTTGCAATCATTTTTGGGGCAAAAGTTGTCCCCCTCACAAACAAAATTGACGTGTTTTTTGATTTTTTGAAAAAAAATATCCTGGCCGTTATGTCTTATGGAACGTTTTCGATGGGCCACCCTGTATACAAAATTTGCCTAACGAACAAAAAAATGCTTAAATTTTATCTCTTTCCGTCGTCGGAAGCAAAAAATTATAAAGAATAAAGAAAAAACTATTTAAAATATTTAAATTCAACTATTCGAGAACACTTTAGTGTTTTAAAACAGATACGTCTACAAAAACGTCGACGTTCTGACTTTTAAAATGACATTATATCAATTAAGTTAAACTTCAAAATTAACAATTACTGCCTGATAACAATAATTACTTAATAAGGTAAAATCTGTAGATGTTAGTAATGTATGGCAAACGCTTCTTTGATTTTAAAGAACATAACATAAATAAACATAACATACCTACGTAAAAATTAAAAATAATCATACAGAAAGTTTGGGGCTTTTTGGTTTTACCTTATTAAGTAATTGTTATCAGGTAGTAATTGTTAATTTTGAAGTTTAACTTGACATAATGTCATTTTAACAGAACGTCAACGGTTTTTGTAGACAGATACGTCTACAAAAACCGTTTTTTTTAAATAATTAATTTATCATAAAAATATATAAAAATCTCATTTAAGTCACTCTTTTATAAAAAGATTTAAATCTTTTAAAAGACGTTTTAAGGATTTAATTCTTTTTCTATTTTGCAATAAAGATTTATATCAGAAATCATTTTGAAAGTTACTTAAATTTTAAGTCGCAAGTCAGCTTTCGTAAAATGATTTAAAAACAAATAATGAATATGACTTTAAATTATTTAAAGAAAAGACAGCTCGCTAGAACAAAGAGAGTTAAAAAAAACATAATCTGATGCACAAAATTTTGGTTTGTAATTTATAACATTAAAATATTTTTTTTACTAGTTCTACATAATTTTTCTTCCAGGTCCCTCATTTTCACCCCTGCAGGACTTCAACATCCCCTCCAGACCGGCCCCCAAGCCAGCATTCTCCCCTGCCCCTGCACCGCCAAGGCCGGTGTTCGCCAACGCGGCCCCTGTATCAGTTGAAAACTTTGGCCCCCCAAGTAGACCGGCTCCAGCTCCTAAGTTTGGATTTGCTGACCAAGGGGCCCCCTTGCAGTCACCATCCAGGTACACGTCTGTCCAGTTTTTCTAGTTACGTCAGTATATTTATTAGTTATTAGTTGGAAAACCCAAATATGTTTTTTTTTAAATTTATACATAATATATAAAAAAACCATGTTATTTTTAGACCCCCACCTCAACCATCGTTTGCACCTGCACCCAGGCCAGCGCCCCAATACAGACCTGCACCAAAACCTTCAGCTGGTCGACCCAATGGAGGCTCAATTTTAGATCAACTCAGCAAAGACTATGCTTTACCACAGGGAGACTCAGCACCACTGCACGATATCAGTTTTGGCTATTACTAGAACAAAAAAAAATGTTTTTTAGGATTTTTTCAATTTAATTTTCGTGAAAAATACCATGGGAGACATACTTACTTTCTTTGAGAAGTAAAAATAACCCCCTGTCTATTTTTTTATATGTTATTTAGTCTGTCATGGTATTTATATTCTTGACTTCTATTTATTTTTCTTTTCTATCCTCTATTTCTACCTCTCTACTGTTTCTGTCCTATTTTTTCTTACTTTTATCTAATTTATTCTTACTTTATACTTTTCTCTTTTCTATTTGTTATTTTCTTTCTTATTTTGATTTTGTGTTTTCATTTCTTTCATCTCTACTTTTTTCTTTTTTATCTCAAAAAAAACTCAGCACCATTGCACTCTATCAGATTTTTAATTTTCATAAAAAATACCATGAGAGACACAATTCCTATCTAAGAAGTAAAAACAGCTCAATGTCTATGTTTTTATATGTTCTTTAATCTGTCATGGTATTTGTAATCTAGATTTCTATTTATTTTTTCCATTCTTCCTTCCTTATTCCCTATCTGGATTTTTCTACTTTTAATCTGTAATCTCCTCTTTTATAACGATTTCTATCTTTGACCTTTATTTATAACCTTTTTCTTTCTATTTTTCCTCTTATTTTGACTAATTTTATTTTTATTTTTTCTTTTGCCTCAAATAAATTTATTATCAATTTAATTCGTCTTAGATGTTAATAAAAAACCACGAGAAAGATACTTCTATATTTAAGAAGCTAAAATTAGCCACTACTATTTTTCTATTTTTTTAATTTGTTCAGCAATACAACTAACGAAGTTACTGAT